CTTATTATTTCCTTCTTCGTTTCCACTGCAATACGCTTAGGCTTCGTTACACCACTGTCACTAACACTTTATACACTATATATATATACAGCGGTACCTCTGGTCACGAACGCCTCTAATCACGTACAACTCGGCCCACGAATACAATTTACGATCAGATTTTGACTGGTCCGGGGGGGGGGGTTTATTGTCCACGGGGATTTTTGTCCGGTTACTCCAAAGTCATGTTTAGGCGTTCCTGCGCCGAGGCATTATGCGCGGATTGAGTCAAAATTTGTTTTTGTTCACGGGGGGCTTTTGTCCGCTTACCCCGAAGTCGTGTTTGTGCGTTCGCGCGTCGAGGCATTGTACGCAAGTCGAGTCAAAGTTTGTTCGGAAATTGTGTTCGTGAGTCGAGTTGTTCGTGACTAGAGGCGTTCGTGACTTGAGGTACCACTGTATTTCGTTGGCAGTGCTGTACCAAATGTCACCAGCAGGCATTTAAGGCTGGTTACATAGCCTGCGCAGTAGTTAAGGTTTATATTTAACTCATATTTAACTAGCAGCCAGGTATTAGACTAGTTTCCCTCTCTAGTTTAATTCGTTATGCGTACTTCGGATATTCGATTTTCGAGAGGGGATTTCTTGATTAGGTTGGCGTAATCAGTGGTGATAGTTAAGCAGTGGATCGTCAGGGTCGCAGTCTGCAGATCGTAGGTTCGCATCCGATTAAGGTCATTTGCCTTTCATTGATGTTGACCTTCATTTACCGTGTAGTATAGATATTGACGAGAATCACAGTCACCCTAAGGAACGAGCTGAGAATAGTTAGTCAGATGGCCTTATCAAATTCACTGTTGTCTGTTGGCTTGAATCGATCGCGGTTATTGTAAGTTTCTTGATATGTTGGTTGTGAGTCCCTCTTCTCGTTCTATTCGCAATTCAATTGGTAGCTTAATTAACTTTCTTCTTTCCGTTATATTATTGTTATTTTCTCTATAATTTGTTATTACTGTATTTGACGCTTTCAGCGTGTACCCTACATACGATTTTGCTTGTCCAGTTGTCGATTCGCTGGAGGGTGTAACCAACGCTTTGAGGACAACAGAGTATCATGACAGGGATGAGCAGTATTGCTATATCTTGGGTAAGAAATTTCTGACTGATGGTTTGTCGTGACGCGATGTGTGCTGCAGATGCACTCAAGCTTCGCAAACCTCATATTTACGAATACAGTCGGTTAAACTTGATGAACACAGTCATGAGCAAGAGGAAGCTGACATGGTTGGTAAATGAAGGTGTCGTGGATGGCTGGTAAGGAAGTCGTTATCTTGCTTACTCTTTTTTGATGTCGCTTTGGCTACTTGTTGCAGGGATGATCCAAGGTTACCAACCGTTCGCGGAGTGCTCAGACGAGGAATGACAGTGGAAGGATTAAAGCAGTTTATCGTATCTCAGGGCTCTTCACGCTCTGTTGTCATGATGGATTGGAATAAACTTTGGGCATTTAACAAAAAGGTCCGCTTCACTTAGCTTTTTGTTCGAGCTAGAGTTTGTTCTTTTTAAAATGACTGATTTTATGTCTCTATGTCTGTAACAAAGTTAAGGGGAAATATTTAATTCTGTTGGTAAAATGAAATATTTCAGCTTGTAAAGCTAGGTAATTCGATAGGTGAGGTCAGACGAGCCAAAGTTTTATTTCGCTAGTACTTTGACAAGAATCCATATTCTGTGTTTCTGGACTAAGTTTCAGTAATTTTTCTTGAAAATTTGTTGGACAACACGGAACACATTAAAAGTTCTTTGAAGTAAAAAATGTCGGCTACACTCAGATAATCACCATTTTAAGTTACCTGTCTTAAGATTGGTAACTTTATATGGTATTTGGTGAAATATGATTAATCAGCAGTCTGAATTTGAAGTTTGTGCTAATTAAGTCAGGGATGTATGCATATGTCCGTTAGATTATAGAAGGGTCGAAAGGATATACGGAAGATACAGTTAGTGCCATAAAGAAGAACGAAAGCGATGTAAAAAATGATAGCATTGGGCAAACCGCTGCACATATTTTCACGTGCATAATCGCTCATTGCAAATTTACTTGCCGTGTACTTTGCTGGCGGCATACTTGCTCCCGAGACTTGATCACCGCAGTTTGCGTCGGCATTTACCTAGGTTTCTCTGAGTCACGCTGCGTTATTCATAATATTCGCCAAAGCATTTATTTGGCGTTCTGCTTTTGGTTGTTCTTGATTCATTATTG